TAACAACATCACCAACAACAGCAACAGCGACAACAATAGCAATAACAACACCAACAACAACAGCAACAGCGACAACAATAGCAATAACAACACCACCAACAACAGCAACAGCGACAACAATAGCAATAACAACACCACCAACAACAGCAACAGCGACAACAATAGCAATAACAACATCAACAGCAACATCAACAACAACAACAGCAATAACAACACCAACAATAGCAACAACAACACCAACAATAACAACAAGGACAACACCAACCTCAGCAGTGACAATATTAACGCGAGCAGCAACAGGCGCAACGATAACACCAGCAACGGATCAAGACATCACCGAGTACAGAAGCTTAGCACAGAGGATCGCGGACTACCAGCAGAAGCGACACGAGATATTTAGCGCAGAGATTTTTAGAAGGCGAGCGCTCACGAGAAAACATACAAAGATTCTGATCTTACGCCAAAGGAGGAAGGCGTACAGGAGGTTTCAGCAAAAGGAGATCTCAGCGATTGTTTCCCTAGAGCACGATGACAGGATGTTTGCTCGGACCAAGGTCGACAACACCGAAGTAACCGCTCTTCTAGACACAGGAGCCAGCGTTAGTTGTTGTGGGGCCGGAGCAACGAGATTCCTTGAGAATCGAAAACATCGAGTCATTAGGCTGCGAAATCGACACGTGAAAACTGCAAACGGAAAGAAGACGTCAGTAACGGGACTCATCACCTTACCAGTCGAATGGGAGGGCGAGACCAGGAGTATTGAATTCTATATAGTACCAGAGTTGCGGCAGCAATTTTATTTCGGCATCGACTTCTGGAAAGCTTTTGGCTTATCTGTCGCCACCAAAGCAGACACTATTATTTCTCCGAGTAAATGCCAAGTTTTAGACGCCATAAGCCAAGGAAACGATAACTCCAAGAGCTACCGAAACTCATCCCTTCAACTGACTGATGTAAAGCAAAACTCTCTAGGTGAAGGTAAGGAAACATTGCCACTCAACACACGCGAAAAGTTCAGCGGATCTATTGGAATCACCTCGTCAACGTCACTTTTACGTAATCAGCGTCAACAACAGCAGCAGATCCAGCTCAACAACGCTGAAGCGACAATAGCAGTAGTAAGTCACCATAATCAGCTATTGCCTTCTGCGACAGCTATTAGCGACCGTGCTAGTCATGCTAATCAAAACAAACTGGCGAAACGTAGACGCATCAACAAAAATTTAAGTAGCCAACATCAACATCGTCACCAATCACAGAAACAACAGCAGCTGGAACACTCGACACCAAATTATCATCCACATCAGCACCATCACCGTCGCCATAGCGTGCAGGGTCAGCAACAATTGCCTTCAACCAAACAACCTGCTGGCAACAGTACTACAGGCGGTAGTTTCGGCACAGATGCTACCGTAACTGCAACAGCCCGTCATAGTAAATATTGTTTTCAGCCTGCCCCGCAAGCGTACATAAACCAGATTCCAATAAATCTAGCATCAAGCGGCCGCTCAACGATGATAAACAGTGAATTCGAATTCTCTACCAACACGGGTGGTGGAAGTAATAATGAGGGCAGCAGTAGTCGAACACCTTTCGACTAGGCCACGGAAGCGTTAAGGGGTTCACGACCCATAGATCGCGAAAGGTTGCTAAACTTGTTGCAAAGAATCGCAAATGAAAATCAACAATATCGGATGCAAAATCAACTACTCAAAGGGTTGCTCGCCTTACGGAATGAACAGATTAGACAGCTTAGTCACAAGGTGCAAGTTCGATGACACCAGCTAGAAGCCAGGGCGGAAGCTAGGAGTATAACAAGCCAAAGATATTCTCTTCTCTAAAACCTCTTGAGTATACACCGAACCTGCCCGGCTAACTCAGTCGGTAGAACAGAGACTCTTAAACTCAGGGCGTGGGTCGAAGCCACACGTTGGTCTGTAGTAGTCGGTCGTCGGGGGTATAGTCGGTCTGTCCGCGGACTATTTGACGTACACATTCCATATCGCAATCCATTAAGTTGAGTTTAGTTCTAGTGAAGTTGCAGTGTAGACCTCAACGAGTGCGCTTGTTTTCGATTGTTTTTTGATTGTACGGCTGAGCCGTGGTTGTTTTTTTCTTTTTCTGAAGTATGGGCTCGAACTGAAAATCGAAGTTCAAAAAAGGATAGATTTTGATTAAAACCTCAAAGGGGAAAAAGGATAAATTTTAATTAAAACCTCAAAAAAAAAAGGATAAATTTTAATTAAAACCTCAAATAACAGAAAAAAAAACCAATAAAAAAAAAAAGGTGGAACAATTAAAAGAAGCATTTTGTGTGTGTTCTCGCGACGAAGAAATTTTTCTTCTGCCAACAAAAGTTTACAAATTAAATCCTTTGTGTAAATAATTGTATAAAATCAGACAGAATATATAACCAATCAACTCTGTATAACATAAAAAAAAAAAAAGGAAAAAAAAATTTCCTTTTGTATGCGTGCTTTTGAAACAAACAAAAAAAAAAAAATAAAAAAATATTTATATACATATTGAATTCTACGATTGTAAAACTATATAAAAATAAAGGAAAAAAACAAGGATCAATGTGTTTGCCTCAATCAAGATGTGTTAAGAGGAAGAAGAATAATTTTCCAGTAGCTTATGAATTACGTGCACCCACATGCACCTACATCCCAGCTGTGTTGTGATTGTGCCGACGACGTGAGACGAACTTCCTACTTCCTTGCCGTGGACAGGAGCCGCCGAAGGAGACAGCCACGACATCGCGAGAGGATTGTATTGTAAGTTACTTTAGTTATTTATGCCCCTGTTGTTTTGTGTCCCCGATGAGTAGTTAAGCGCTGCAGCTGCCACCGCTGTAGCTGAAAGGAGAAAAGGGGTGTGCATATGTAGGGCCGACGCCAGACGACGACCGACTGACTTACAGTGGACAGACAGACGGCAGACAACCGACGGGACTTTTCTTTTTATTTTATTTTTTTTTCTTTGTCAGAAAAAGACAAATACTCAGCCGGCAATGAAAGTAAAGAGTCTCATGACAAAGTTCAAAGCAAAAGCTGAAAACTTTCAAGTTATATATTAAAAATATGTATTTACATATATATAAAATAATAAAACTGTTGAAAATAATTGAACGAAAGCGAATACGGTTCCAACTCCTTAACGTAATGAGTATCCTTTTGTTTATTATATTTGGGCCTTGTGCTCACCCATAAAGGAGCCGTCGAGAGATATCGGGAGAGTTTTACTTTTTGTTTTATATGCGAAAAAATAAAGAAAATATTATTAATTTCTTAAGGAAGATAGTAGGTAGTAGGTAGTTCAACGCCACTGTGCATTTTTTGTGAAAAAGAGTGAGAAGAACTAGATAATGTCGGTAACATTGACGTTTGGGATGCGCTACATTGAAAAAAATTTTTGTTGGATGGCTCAAGCTTTTTTTGCGAGAAGAATTCCGCCTTTTTTTGGGTTTGGGGGTGAAAAAAGGTGTGGTTCATTCTACCCGAAGAGTTGAGTCACGCCTTTTTTGGTTTTTGCGGCCACCCGAAGGCGGCCGAAAGTGTCCCGACTGACATTTGTGAGAGTTTTTGTGAACCCGGGATTCGAGTTGGATGTTCGTGTTGGGGTTTTCGAGAGTGTTGTTATGATAGTGCTGCAAAAGTATGTTGGAAACAAAGTATACCCAACCGCCGTATGCACCTATTTGTGCTGTGTCTTGTACTGTGTGAATTTTTTGTGGTTTTGTGGTTTGTAGTTGTGCTATGTGTTAATTTTTTTGTTGTTTTCATAATTGATTTACTGATCTTTCTTAACACTGTTAATGGATGACCTATGTAAAAAGAGTTAACATTCAAAATTCAAGATTCCATTTGCTGGCAGTTATTATTTTAAGTGTGTATTCCATAAAAAGTTAGATATATTCAGGATATATAGTGGGGAAAAATCGACTGGTCATTTTTGTCAAAGTCTAGTCAAAGATATTCTATATATTTACAATAATTATTTATGTAAAGTTAAACCAATAAACACGTTGACGCCTGCGGAGCGCGGGAGACAAAAACCCGATACAATTTGCTACATTTGTGGAAAGTTGTTTTTACCTGTCGAAAACAGCGTAACTGGTCACTGTCATTTGACACGTGATTATAGAGGAACTGCTCATAATGTGTGTAAAAAAGTTGCAACATTTGTTCCAAAGTGCTAGTTGAGTACAATAAACCAATTTATATTGGTTTTACCGTCTTAGAATTATCCAAAGGAAAAATGTACAATTTCCATCATGATTATATGAAGCCCATATATAAGGAAAACATTAATCTAAATTATATGGATACTGATTCTTTTATTTATGATATTGGAACAACAGATTTATGTGATGACATTCGAAATCATATCTACTATCATTTTGAAACGTCCGCATATACCAAACAAACTATTTTCGATTGCCTCAGTTTTAAAAGCATCTATGAAATGAAAAAGTTATAGGTCTATCCAAGTCAAAACCACATTCAAAGCAGACATAAACACATTGATTGCTTTTATTTATATCAAACATATACGAGAATTCCCAAACATTTAATACGCGATAATGCAAATATGATAGTAAGATTTTAACAAGATGAATTAATGTGAGACATATATACAATGATCATGTTATCGGTGATACGTCATTTAAGAAATTTTTAACGATGTGTAGACAGTGCTGGAAAGATAAATATGGCTTTGTTATTGTGAGCGAGGATGAGTTAGTTCATAAGGGGCAATATCGGAAAGGTTTCGATAATTTCATGCAGTTCAGTAAGTCAGATTAGATATAGAGCAGATCACTACCGGATATAGAGCAGATTACAAATGAGTAACAAATTGTTAAAATATATTATAAAGACACGAGAAGTGTTGAAAGCGAAGCTAAGAAATATCAAATCAAATAGAGAAGGTTAACTTCTTGCAAGACATATTGAAGCCTATAACGAATCCTTTGAAATAAAAAACTTGATAATAAGAATTCTACGCCGCTGACGTCATCATTTACGAATGATTCGATAGAAAATCATAACAATGGTGGTGATGAAGGCGACGACGACGATGATGAACATAATAACGAGATTAATGATGTAAATAATATTGATTATAATGATGGATAATAATGATATTGAGATGCAAGCATATAATTCATTATCAAATTATAGGTATAAACCAAACCATTGAAAAGGTTGGACGATTCGTGGGCACTTCAATTGATAAGAAGGTAATGGGGTGAGCTAATCAAGCTGTATGCAGAAAAATTTGGCAGTGACGTCGCCACAAACACGGCACTTATATTATTTGTAAGCAATTCATGGAAGAGGGGGAAAAAATTACTACAATGTTTATTACCTACAAATGATTTCCAAATTTTGCTGAAACTTATGGGACAAATAACCTTTCCGTAAATGTTGTTTACAACATATTAGAATAAGTATTTTTTCTTTTTTCATTCATCCCATTTGGCAGAAACATTGAAAGTTCTTGCGCTTAGGCTGATACTTAATATGGTCTAAAAAGATCAAAGGACGCTCACTCTACTGTGTAAATTAAAAAGTCTCTGTTTTTCATAATGAAAAAATTGGTTTTTTACTTATTACTCATAAAGTACATAAATTCACGAAAACTTGAATGTATATGTGGGCGATGTTGGAATACTTGTACAAAAATGTGTAAAATTGACCTCGCTTGTTCACTACTAATTTTGTTTTAATTACTTTATAACGCGTAAATGCAAGCTTCAGAATTCCCACTTAATCATCTTTAAAATTCTAAATGTACTCATGCATGTCCTCCCTTTCATCTGCCCAAATGTGCAGTATCTGTGATAGATATTTTCCAGTTCGTAAAAGTGAAGGTGTCACCTACAAATTAGCGAAAGACGCGCACATACCTACGAAAATAGATCTGTGAACGTCCACTGCAAGATTTTACGTATGCTGCGCCTATTGTTACAAATTCATATTTCATATTTCCTCACTAGGCGTTCACTATCTGAATCGTATAAGGATGGCTGACGGTCGACGCAGCGGTCTTAAATCTAGTAATGAGGTTAAAAAACATTCTTAACACATTCCCCCTAAGGGCTTCGCTACTGAATCCGATTACAGGTGTGCTCATGCCTTACGCGGGTCTCCCAATTTGGACTGCGGAAGGGTAGTAATCCCAGTTAGCAACATTTTTGGTGCTGAAGAATATTTTGAAAAATTGCTTAAAGTAGTTGAAACATGACGTCCGTTTCCGCAATGGTCAACGCCACGGCCTGTTTCAAGCGCCCCATGGGATTTCTGGAAACTAAAACCACCGAAGAGCCGTACCTAGCAGTCAGCCGAGGTGGCATTCTCTTGATAATTTGACTGGAAGTGGAATACTTGCTGGAAGCAATCCCTCGCATGGAAAATGTACACCCCGATTATCACCCATAACTTTTGACCTATTGTCTATAAGATTTTTCGGCAGCTTTGGGTGGTCTGACACTAGACATGTCCGCTTTTCATAAAGGAAAAAAGCGTCACCTCCATATGCTCCTTGCTTCCTCCTATTATCATCCGGAATGGGGGCAGTAGTTTGATGGACTAAATACTGGAAAGCTAAATGGGGGAAGGAAAATGGCCGCCTATCATAAAAGGAAGGAGCGCCACTTCCATGTGATCTTCTTGGCCTTCCAACGGAAGAACCTGTTGTCAAGTTAAGGATAGCGAATGTTTGAACCTTCCTAGACCGTAGCCGAGTAGTTCTCAAATCTAAAAATATAAAGCAACAGCTACGTGTGGGAAAATTCTTTTCTTCCAAATTCGTTTACAGATTTTTAAGAGATATGTTGTTGTATGCTAAGGGAAAATTTTTTTCGGTAGATACTACACAATTGGGTACGCAGGTATGCTTATCAAAAAAAAAATTAGGTTTGATATACCATAATATTTTTGTAAGAGTGCTACAACATCACCTATAGAAATAATGAAATTTTTGTACATTTATCTATTAAAGTTTATGAGTAATAATCAAAACAACATATTGTTATTCCGTTTGAGAAACAAAGGTTTTCTCACTTTATGTGGTGCAATATATATGTCCTTCGATAGGTCTTAACCACTTTCAGAAGCAACTAGACTTTCAACGTTTCTGTCAAGTTTGAAGTCAACAGCTTCTCTTTTGCCGCCAGGCGAGCGCATCCAACAAAAATTACACTAGCGTAACAGTCAGCTTAACCTTGAACGGTAATCTTAAATAAAAAGTTTGGCATCTCCTTTTTAACACATGTTCATTAAAATACGCACGGCGAAAAATTGAATTAACAAATTGACATTGAAAAAGTTGGGTGAGGCAAGTTACGATTCGTGGGGACTTCAATTGATAAGAAGGTAATGGGGTAAGCTAATCAAGCTGTATTCAGAAAAATTTGGCAGTGACGTCGCCACAAACACTGAACTTATATTATTCGTAAACAATTCATGGGAGAGGGGAAAAAATTTTTTTTTATGAATTACCAGAAAAAAAGTTTTACGAAACTAAAATTTTTTAACCAATAAGGTATACCATATAGTGAAAGTAAAACGAATTTGCGAAATACTTCCATACCAAACATTACCTAACTGAAAAGAGATTCCTAAAATATGAATTTGTCATTTTTCGTTTTGTCGGAAAAATATATGGAAACAAATGCACCAAAATTTGTTTTCTAATTATGCCGTTTCAGGTTATCTGGTCCATATTAAATTGGAAAAATACTGCCAAACTATTTCACAAAACCATAAAGACCAATTTATATGGTTATATTGGACTAATATATAAATTGTAGCTAGCTGTGATTCCTCTCGCAGGACACGCTCGTAAAAATTTAAGAAATTTTGGACAGGCCGGTTCAATTGCGCACCGCGCAATCGGAATTTGGATATGGCCGCGGCACGGCGTTTGTTCCCAGGAATAAAGGGCTGGAAATATCGTCGATATTACAAGAATAAGCTTGAAGGTAATTTTACTTTCATCTTAATAAATACCTTTTTCTTAATAAAGTAAGAAAAAGTGCAGCCACAAAATGATTTATAAATAATTATTAAAAGTTTATCTAAAATTTCGATATGACTGGACGGGGGAATACTAATCTAGTTCAACTTGGTCCACTAAAAGTTCAATTCAAATGAATAAAATTTTAATTCAATTTTTGATCACAGAAATTCCATCTACTATTTTGCGAATATAATTACGTTTAGTTATAATTACTTTAACGTATTTTATAAATAATTACTAAAATATCCATATGATTGCACGGGGGAATACTCATCTAGTTCGACTTTGTCCACTAAAATTTCAATTCAAACAAATAATATTTTAATTCAATTTTTGATCACAGAAATTCCATCTAATATTTTGCGAATACAGTAACATTTAGTTACAATTACATTAATTTGCTTAATAAATAGTTACTGAAATTTCCCTATGACTGGACGGAGGAATACTAATCTAGTTCAACTTGATCCACTAAATATTCAATTCAAACAAATAACATTTTAATTCAATTTCCAATCACAGAAATTCCATCTACTTTTACGTTTACGTATTTTATTGATTTATATATCTTATCCCTACGGCACGACTACAATGTTTGTTACTAACAAATGATTTCCAAATTTTGCTGAAACTTATCGGACAAATAACCTTTCCGTAAATGTTGTTTACGACATATTAGAATAAGCATGTTTCATTTTTCCATTCATCAAATTTGGCAGAAACATTGAAAGTTCTTGCGCTTAGGCTGATACTTAATATGGTCCAAAAAAATCAAAGGACGCTCACTCTACTGTGTAAATTAAGAAAGTCTCTGTTTTTCGCAATGAAAAAATTGGTTTTTTACTTATTACTCATAAAGTACATAAATTCACGAAAACGACAGAAGAACTGTGAACGTCCGCTGCAAGATTTTACGTATGCTGCGCCTATTGTTACAAATTCATATCTCATATTTCCTCACTAGGCGTTTACTATCTGAATCGTATAAGAACGGCCGACGGTCGACGCAGCGGTCTTAAATCTAGTAATGAGGTTAAAAAACATTCTTAACACATTTCCCCTAAGGGCTTCGCTACTGAATCCAATTACAGGTGTGCTCATGCCTTACGCGGGTCTTCCATTTGGACTGCGGAAAAGGGTAGTAATCCCAGCTAGCAGCAGTTTTGGTGCTGAAGAATATTTTGAAAAATTGCTTAAAGTAATTGAAACATGACGTCCATTTCCGCAATGGTCAACGCTACGGACTGTTTCAAGCGCCCCATGGGACTTCTGGAAGCTAAAACCACCGAAGAGCCGTACCTAGCAGTCTGCCGAGGTGGCATTCTCTTGATAATTTGATTGGAAGTGGAATACTTGCTGGAAGCAATCCCTCTCCTGGAAAATGTACACCCCGATTATAACCCATAATTTTTGGCCTATTGTCTATAAGATTTTTCTGCAGCTATGGGTGGTCTGACACTAGACATGTCCGCTTTTCATAAAAGAAAAAAGCGTCACCTCCACATGCTCCTTCCTTCCTCCTATTATCATTCGGAATAGGGACAGTAGTTTGATGGACTAAATACTGGAAAGCTAAATGGGGGAAGAAAAATGTCCGCCTATCATAAAAGGAAGGAGTGCCGCCTCCAGGTGCTCTTCTTGACCTTCCAAGGGAAGAAGCAGTTGTCAAGTTAAGGATAGCGAATGTTGGACCCGTCTTAGGCCGTAGCCGAGAAGTTCTTAAAATAAAAGTATAAAGCAACAGCTAGGTGTAAGAAAATTCTTTTTCTTCCAAATTCGTTTACAGATTTGTAGGAGATATGGTGTTATATATATGTGTGCTAAAGGAAAATTGTTTTCGGTAGATACTACACAATTGGGTAGGCAGATATGCTTATCAAAAAAAAAAAAAATTAGGTTTGATATACCATAATATTTTTGTAAGAGTCACCTATAGAAAATTTGAAATTTTTGTACATTTATCTATTATAGTTTATGAGTAATAATCAAAACAACATATTTTTATTCCGTTTGTCTCAAAGGGAATAAAACGGTTTACTCACTTTATGTGGTGCAATATATATTAGTTTGGGGAAAAAGAAATCCATTATGTTTTCGGTAGATGGCTGCACTG